AATGGAATGCCCCGGAGGTGTGGATTGAAGTGGTCTCCATGTGTGTTCGTTGTGTCTTGTATGATAAGCCTGAGGTGTGTTTTAACTGTTCCTTATACTTCCAGCCAGCCCTTTGGTTCTCAACTTCCTTCCGCTACCCCCATGCAGGGTCCGTGAATTGGCCATGCAGCGAGCAGTCCGTGGATGTATTGCAAGGATGGACACGAGCTTCAGTGGTGATGACCTTTCTCATTGCAGCCAGTGAGCTGGACTTGTCTGATGCAGAGAGCCAGGAGAAATTGAAGCCATTGCACAAGGTTCTGGACAAAGCGTGGATGATCCCGTGCCACGCAACTCTTTGTAGATTTAGAATGTTTTTCGTGTTTTTTTGTCCAGTTGTTGTTTGAAATCAACCAAGTTGCCCAGCCATCCAGTTCCAGCTAAGATGGCCTTCAACATGGACGCCAGCTCTCGATCCTACCGCAACCTCACCCTGTCTTACAGAGGATCTGAAAGACAGAGCCCGAACTGTCTCCAGTTGGCGCTCAGATTCTCCAGAATCATGCAAGCAAAGGCCAAAGCGTTGAGCACCGATTGGTGAATGATGAACGGAGGCCCTGGCGGCGCAGCGTTTGCTGGTGCACTGTGCCACGGCAAGGGGGCCAAGGAAGCATTCTGCCAAAAGCGGTTGGCAGCCAAGGCAACCAGGTAGTCGATGCTCTTTTGATATTGGTGGCCATAGGAGAAAGAGACAGCGTCTGCAAGCTTTCGCAGTGCAACACCAGTTCTGTCATTGTAGTTGTTGACTCTCCTCAGCTGTTTGACTGTTGCGTAAGATTGTTCTTTCGGACATGAAAATGGAAGGTTCCCAAAAGCGAGCGCCCAAAACAAAACAAATGTCAGTAGTTAGGATTGAGCAAGGGTCTTTGCATCTGGGACCATAGTGAACCCAGCCGCACGGGACTGCGTCATAACTAGAAGGGGCGGTTGGGAGAGCTCAGTGGAAGAAATGTATTTCTTCACGAAGAGAATAACATCGTCATTTGAAGCCGGCCTTTATGCTGCCTTGAGATCTTATATGTTTGAATTGGGTGTTCATTCTGAAGGAGGCCCTGACGCCGATGTGACCAAAAGTTTTTGATGTTGATGGATTTGATTGAACTGTTGCATATGTCAATGAGAGATGCCGTGGACGCTGGTCGGTTGGAAACTTTGACCCAAACATATTTGAAGAGGTTTGCGAAGGCCCATGGGCGCGAACCTGTCGTCCCCAAGCATCGCCTGATGCTTGATTTGGGGAAGTGCCTGAGGGATCAGAAATTTATCCTCAGCTGCTTCTGCCACGAGAGACGGCGCAAGGAGATAAAGGGGTATGGAGACAATTTACACAATACTGGACCATGGTTTGACAGAAGAATTTTGGAGGAACTTCGGCAGCAACGGTATGTCATATGCTTTATTGACGCTTATATCTATATATATATGTATGTCCCTGTGGTGTTCCACACAAAACAAATTGTTGATTTGTTTTGTTTTAATGAGGTTTTGCGTATACATTGACCATTTGTTCATTTGTTGGCTTAAGTGTTCTTTGGGGGTCCACACGAACCATGTTGCGTCCAAGCACAGGAGATCACGCTATCGCAGCTGCAGAAGCTCCAAGCTCTTGACCCTTTACAAGACACCGTGTGCTACTTGGAGCCACCTCTGCGAGCGGCTCCTGCAAATGTGGGTTTTGAGTCCACATCGAGAACTGCAGTTCTTATTTCAGGTGCATATTGCATGGCTGGAGACGTGGTCTTGTTCGAGGATCCTACGGATGGTCAAGTCAACTTTGGCAAAGTTGAGACGCATGCTTTGCAAAATGGTAAAGCTTTCACATGCGTGTCGGTGTGGCCAGTGTCAGGGGTGAATGAACTGCGTCCTGACAAGAGTCAGAAGTGGTATCCAACAACATGCGTGAATGGCTGCCTCATTTGGCACACTTTGCCAAACGGAGTCGTAAACATTGTGCCTCAAAAATTCTAACGGAAATCTTCGACCTGTTTGCTGGAAGGAGTTGCTCCTGCAGAGGATTGAAGTTGTTTGCCTTGCTTCACGCAATCCTCGACCTGTTTGCTGAAAGGAGTTGCTCCTGCATGCAGAGGATTGAAGTTGTTTGCTTTGTTTCACGCAATCCTCGACCTGTTTGCTGGAAGGAGTTGCTCCTGCAACATCAGAGGATTGAAACTTTTGACGGACGTGTTAAATGTGCGGGCACGACTTGTGGAATTAGTATATAGCTCTTCTCACAGCAAAAGGGAGGGAACCAGAGGGCTGAAGAGGAACCAAACCTGAGGGATGCAGAGGGCTGAAGACACCAGAGGGCTGATTGTTTTGATCCGGAGCCCGAATACATTATATATATATATATATGCTTACTGTATATACAAATGATTTGAACCACACCTGTATATCCAACCATACGATGGAATGGCACGAAGCTTTCAATGGCACGAAGCGTTCAACTTCTTTAGAGGCCTCCAACGACGACCTCGCCTTCACTGGACCTATGCCTTCACTGGATCTATGACCTCTCCATCACTGGTTTTTTCCAGGCACTCGGGATACAGAGGCAATATATATATATAGAACACTTGCATGGAACCAGGCAATTGGTTTGGTTGGATAGAATGCCTATGGTTTGGGTGATCTTTCTTGCCATCCACCCTTCAGGGTATATACCGTTCCAACCTGCTCATCCATTATAGTTCCATCCCACCGAGCACACCCTGCGTCTTGCCGCTGGAGCGCACTTGCGCAGCCTGGCGCTGCCAGGCTGCCGAGTGCCTTTTTGAGTTATATCCAACGCAGACATATCGGAGGCAGGGACATTTGCGGCGACCGGGAAATTCATCTATGCCAGATTCTTCTACGCAGATGTGACCTATAGACACATATTTTGTTTATATGTTTGTTCGTTTGCGTTTCTTTTTTGTGAGTGCGTTCATGTCATTGAAACCCGCGCGAGACATAATTGTGTGGTTCTTGAATTAAACATCGAAACGTATAGCGCTTCATTAATTGAAACGTTTGTCAGGAGAGGGTCCATGATTATATAGGCTTCTGTTTGGTCGCAAGAACCACGTTTTTTGGTCGCACCAGGATTCTAATGATCATTTTTGGGATCACTGTTCCTAATAGTTTTTATATATAGGATGTTCCTTGCTGTTGGGTATATAGTAATTCTAGAATTTCAGATATACACAACAAACCGAAAATGCCAAGCCCTGCCAACACGTTTGCAGTGATGAGTTTCATCCGTTGTTCCATCCCACCGAGCCGAGCACTTGCCAGGAATGACGAGTCTGATGCCTCGGCAGGAATGAAAAAAGCGTGCGGCGACCAGGAAATTCATCCATGCCAGATTCTTCTAGGCAGATGTGACCTGTTTATGTGTTTTTTCGTTTGTGTTTATGTGTGTTTGTTTGTGTTTATGTGTCATTGAGTAATTGTGTGGTAATGCAACAGTGTTTCCTTGCACCGGCTCGCTGACACAGGTTATAACAGGCAGTATAGGTGGATTCAGGGCATGGCAGATTGACATCGATTGGTTTGTTGTATCGTTGTGTTTTATCTTGAACGCTCTAAAGTTTGATTATCTAACATCCGGAAGTGATTTTGCCATGTATCAATGTTGAACTGCGTCAATGTTCAGTGAATTTCATCTGCCAGTTTTACAGTGCCCAGGCCAAATCCAACTCACGGGATGCGGATATATGATTTCCTTCCACGCAGTACTCCATGGCCCAAATCCAAATCCAACGTCGTATATTAGACTTTGGAACTGGTTGCGTGGATTATAGCCTTCTGTTTGGGTATTCGACGTGGCATCATACTTTGCAAGAACCACATTTTGTGGTTGCACATGGTGGCGCATAAGCGCGCAGAGTTTAATATCATTATTTTTTAAAAGATCACTCTTCCTAATATGTTTCCACTGTATATGTACGTTGTTTTAAAACTATAATTCTTACAAACATTTTTCTATATGTAGGACGTTCTTTTGGATCATTATTACTAACATTGTTTTCTATACGTGAGATTTGTTTATTCTTGAATAAAAACTGTATATGCACAATGTAGTTGTTTGGAATCACTCTTCCTAACATGTTTCTGTATGTGTTACTTTTTGTATTACTCGTCCTAACATTTTTAAATGTATATATTGTGCGATGTGTTTTTGTTTGTGATCACTCTTCCTGACTGTTTTTCTATATGTATTTTTTGGATCACTCTATATGTTTTCGAAAAGGATATACTACTTCCAATGGTTGTTTGTCATGCTCATGCAAGGGTCAAAAGCCTTGAGTATACCCAAAACGCCACTGCAACCATTGCGTTGCGGGTATATTCAACATACCCAACAGCCGAAAATGTATTTGCGTTCCGCTTTTTGTAGCTCTCACAATGTGTTTTTTTGTGTTTTTTGATCTATGATCATCGCAAAACAATATGTTTATCTTAGTTTTCGTTCCACTATTGTTATGTTTTTGTTTTTTTAGATACAGTATCAGCGCGTTTAGCGCGTTCTAAGTCCAACTTGTCGAACTTAGCCAAGTGATTTTTTTGAACGTGTTCTACTTAGTTGCGCTTAGCTATGTTGGACTAAGTTCGACCTAAGTACAACACGTTGAACATAGGCCACTTGGCTAAGCCCAGCTAAGTTCAACACTAGGTCCGACTAAGTTCGACTAAGTATGTAGGCTATGTTGGTTAGTAAGTGCACTTATAAGCTGGACAACCAGGCTAACTACTTACAACCCCAACCGCACATCCAAGCAGGGCGACCAGGAGGAGGTATCTTCGCTCAAAGAAGGTGGTGATCCACTTGTACGCGGGCGAGCGTGCGGCGGAGTGGAAGCAGTTGGAGGAGCACGGGTGCGATGTCATTGCGGGTAAGTTTATAGCCAAGGTCAATGAGACCATGCACCGGCGCAATGGGTTCACAGGGCTCCGCCGACAACAAAGTACCTGTCCGCTCATCCTGGTGAAGGGTCACAGAACCATGAGCTAGCTCCACATTCACCTGACTGAACCGCGTGATCCAATTCACCAGGTCGGGCAGTCCTGAGAGGGTGAGTCGCCCCGCCATCCAACAAGCCGAAGGCCTCCGTCGCCTGCTTCTCCCCCACACCATCGAGGAACTTCAAGCGAACCGCCTTGAGCGACAACGCGCGCAATGATTTCAGCAGCGCAGCTGCCTCACCAACCAACGAACTCATTGGAGGATCCGCCGCCGTTGAACCACCAGTGGACCCCATCACCGAGCTACCTTTTCATCCCGAGGTACTTCAGGGGAGCTAACCACAGTCTCCGCCGAGCCCTTTTCAGGTGAGGATGGCTTCCCTTTTCCCGTCACCTTGGCAAGCTTCTTGGCGTCCTCAGTGTCGGGCTCCTTTTTTGAGATCAGGCGCGGGCAATCCTTTTTCGAATGACCAGCCCCTGAACAATAAAAGCGCCGGTTCTCCTTTGCGTTCAACCGGGAATGCTCAAACTTGCAGCGATCTCCACGACGGCAACCCTGGTCCGTGCGCCAGAACCGACAGGCGTGCTTGTCCCCCACGTTCTTGGTCTCCACGTCCACCGTCGTGGCGTTATTGACCGCCCCATTCCACATTGAGTTCGACCCCATCCCCCAGGGTTGCGGAGGCCACCAACATCTCCTCCGCCTAGCTTGCAGCATCTCTGCAAAGGTCTTCACCGAGTCCATACTCGGGCGAGTATCCACTTGCAGCTGTTGCCTGCATAGTGACAAGCGGTACGCCGTCTGCGCACCAGACTTGGCCAGATGGTCAGAAACCTTGACCAGCACGTAGCAGGGACCCCGTCACCTTGATGTCCGTGAGGTACTTGATCAAGTTGATGCGTTCACCTTGACCCCCTGGCTGATACTTGATGTACAGGGCAAAGAGGATCTGCGCAACCTGCATCTTCCTCGCTGCCACCACCTCCGACGACTTCAACTCCGGAGGATTGGCCTGCAACAACAGGCTGACCATTTTGCGTTCCGTGCGTGGCCACATAGTTGCCGCCGCATCGTTGTTGGGGCACAGCCTCAACCGTTGAAGCTCTTCAAAGTCATTAATTCTGCCACAACCGGCTCCAGCATAGCCAACCAGTCACCAAAGACCAGGGATGTGGCATCACCAGGAAGCTGACGCAATTCAATGGTCCTCAGATTTTCCCCCACACCCTCAAGGTCTCCACCATAGCCAACCCACCCAGGTCCTCCTCGTCCATGAAGTCCCCCATAACCAGGAAGAGCTTGACAAGCCACTGCGCACCAGATTGATGCCAGGCGGACACGGCCACGGAAATGGAGGTTTCCCCCCCAGCCCCACCACCACCCGGAATCTCCGGCGCAGACTTGTAGGAGTCAGACACGGCCTGCTCAGGGTTGTGCGTCTTTTGAAGCCCAACTAAGAACTGCTGCTCAGCGTCTTGAAGACATTGTCGACGAAGAGCTTCGACCGGATCTTCACGCTTCTCGTGGCCCGATTCCCCCTGCGTCTTCATCTTCTCAGCTGACCATGGATTCACCGGCGAAACCTGCCGAGGTGCTTGAGCGGCTGGTTCAGGTAGACCACCATGATGAACGCCTCCTGCTGGAAGTTGACCTAGACCACCAGGAAGAACTCCATGAACTTCACGCCGTTCAGGAAGAATCGGGAGTTGTTCCCGAGCTCCACCATCTCCTCCACCTGAATACCCTGGCAAGGGTGGAATTGCCAAGCCACCGGCAGCGCCCCTGGTACTTGAGGAAGAAGAGCTTGTAGTCCGGACGTAGTTCCCATGCCCATCAACAGCGGCCCCGCGACCGGTGGTGGCAAGGCTGCCAACAACCCACCAGTCCCCACACCTCCATGGTTAGGGGCTCCACCCCCAGAGCAGCAGTCGCTGCTGGAGGTGGGGCTGATGCCTTCGCCGTCAAGGACTGTCTTGTGCTCTTCAAAGATGGAGTCAGCCGAGCTGAAGGTTCCAAGCTCCGTGCCCGTTGAGGTGTCTTCGGCCGCTGGTTCTCCTTTTCCCTTTCCGCTGCTTGCGCGGCCAACAGCGTCCAGCTGCTCATCGGCTGTCATCCGCCGCTCCTTCGAAGCAGCCCGCCTTCGGTCCATGGCCGACATGGCTTCGCGGGTACGATCACCGGGGCTAACCCACGGTGGACAAACAGCTGTCGCACAGCGCAGCTTTGTTTTCTTGAGCCAAAGGTTTGCGATGCCGTTTTGGCATGATTTCAAGACACGTCATGTACGTTTCACGACGTTTGGGTGACCGTGTTTCACGATCCGCAAAAACAACTGAGGTGGTACCACCCACGGACCATAAATCGGGATTGAAGACAAAATAATTTCATTTCAACTTTTTTTAGAAACCAACTTTTTTTGGAGATAATAAACCATGTTGCCACAGTGTACATGTGTCAAAGTATGATAATCAACTCTGGGTCTTGGTCCTTCTGGCTCAAGCAAAAGCTACCCAGCTGGAGCGCAAGTTGGCCAGAGATGGCCCCAAAGCAACGGGGGTCCTCCAGGTTAACCTTGCGACCAAGATATATCTGGGCGCCCAAATTTGGCTCGGTGCCAGAAGAGTCAGAGCAAGACCAGAATCCTACCCAAACTTGGGCGGATTGACTGATGGTCCTACCCAATCCTGGGCGGACTCATGTCCCTGGCCGGATTCAAGCGATTATCCTAGCCAGGAAAATAACCAAGCGAGGTCTAGCCAAGATGCGCCAGGGACTGAGGCTCCGCCATGGTCAGGCCCAGGGCCAGAGCCAAGCAAGTCGAATCACAACGATTCAGTTTCAATGTTTCAATGTTTCATGTTTCTTCCCAAGCCTCCTGGAGTCCAATTGGGCTGCCACAAATGCAGGTTTAAGGGCGGTTGCGCGGTGTCGGACTCTGGCAGGGCTTGTCCTCAATGAGGAGAGGACCGCCTGGATTTTCAAGCCATAGATTTCACTTTTCCTTCTCAGATCGCAAGGCAGCTGAAAACGGAATGCAATCCCTATTCAGTTTCAATGTTTCATGCGACGAATGGTTGTTCATCATAAAAGTACTATAGTTTCAGAGCAATTATTACTTGACTTGTCATGACATTCACATAATCATATGATTGAAATCGGAGACATGCATCATCATGGCACCATGATGGCTCAAATTCGAACAAGCCACACTAGGGCCTAAGAAGACCTTGAACAGCTCATTGGGAGCATTATGGAGGACATAACCATAATTGGCAGCTCAGACGAGGATGGCTCCGATATTGAGATGATGGAGGCGCCAAAAAGCTCACCTCCGCGACCACCAAGGCCTGGTTCCGGGCACATAATGATGCAGTGATGTGGATGATATATCATTTTGTGGGAACCGGTTAGGGTGATAAATCTATTTTACAAGACCTTCAAGCATATTCAAAAGCGCAAGTTTTGGGACACTGAATCATTTCATATCAAAGCCGACTCATCCGCTAGGCAGCTGCAAATATCCGTATCGGATCCAGGGCCTGCTCCTTGGGAACGCGCCTTGCAAGCCAGTTCAAGTTTGTGTGGCTTGGTCATCGACAAAATTGAAGAAGAAGGCGCCAACCAGATTCAGCGCCTTCCCCACCACTTCATGGAGTTTTATTCACCTCCACGGGTGGCACTGCCGCTACGAAGAACTGGCTTCTTCGCGCGGTGCAGTTTTGCTTTGATGACTGGCTACGATTTCTTGAAGTTTGAAGATCGCGCCAGAGCACTGAGATTGTATGAGACGCATGCACCTTTTTTCGTCATGCTATCTCCACCATGCACTATGTTCAGCAAAATGCAAAACCTAAATTTGAAAAAATGCAGCCGCAGATTCGCAAACAGAGGTTTGCAGATGCCAACTGCGTGCTGGATTTTGCTATGCATATTGCCGATCGACAGCTGAGAGGCAACCGTTTCTTCTGTCATGAACATCCATCGGGCGCATCCAGTTGGCGCAGAGCATCAGTAGCCCAACTTGCAAACCAACCCAATGTGTTCCTGGTTTCTTTTGACCAGTGTCGAACTGGTCTGGGGACTCCTTCCGGCTTGAAACCTATCCAAAAAAGGACGGTTCTGATGACCAACAGCCGGGAGATCCACAACATCGTTTCTCCCCTCCAGTGCAATTACACCGAGGAGCACGCAGTGATCCAAGGCTCCGAATCGGGTCTTCAACTCTCTTCATGGTGCCAAGTGTATTCCCCGGAATTGGTGGACCACCTGGCAGACGCTGTGCGGTTGGAGTGGGCCCAGCAGTCTGGGACTGCCGCCCTGACTCCAGGATAAGCTCATCAAGCTGAGGATGGTTGCAAGCGGCCATTTGAATCAAGCCCACTTGCGCATAGTGATGGGTGGCGACTGAGTAGTATGATTGGGAACATATTGGACATGACTTGGCACTCACTGGCGGTAAAAAAGACCATGGCATCGACCGCGCCAGCGCCAGACTATCAAACGAGTCACCATCAGACCCTCAGAAACCATGATTGAGTCCATTTCGCGACGATCTAGGGGGGTCACTTTTCGACCCCCCCAGTCAGTCGCGTTTCGTTTGAAACGCGACGATCTCTTGATCTCGGTTATACAAACTTGACGATCTAAGGTTTCATTTTTCGACCAACCCAGTTAGTCACGATCCAGGGTTTGGGCTGGGAGTTAGTGCCGTTTCGTTTGAAACGCGACGATCTGGGGGGGGTCACTTTTCGACCCCCCCAGTTAGTCGCAAAATTGGATTTTAACATTGAGTTAGAATTCTGGTGGCTTTCCCAAAGCTTGGGCTCGGTAAGGAGACCGGGTAGTCAAGAAGCATGGCATGGTGTCAGGCAAGCCAACATTAAAAGTCCAATAGTAACAAGTTAGGCAAGGCACATTCCCCAGCGGGGTTGGTCGCCCAGACGCCATGGATGTGAAGGAAGAGATGAAAGAGGACCCAGAGAATAGCAAGAAATCAGAGCCCGAGGCTCCAGAGGACGTGGCCATGAAACCATCTAATTACTATCCTCCGGACATCAGGCCCCTCACCCACACCAGCAGCGTCAATGGCAATCACTGAAGCTAACTTCAAGGAAGTCGCTTGGACAGCCATGAACTTCCACCTCGAGGCTTGTGGAGGTCCAGGGTAGTGCAGGAAACTCCAAATGGCTGATTTCGCTGAGCAGCTTCAGGTCGCCTTTCCCAGGCGGACCGATTTGTCCTACCTGGAGAGCCTTGAGTTGCCTCGGGGCCACGACCCGAGTGAGACGTTTCGGGTGTCTTTGTGGCAACTGGGCTTCGTGGAGTGCTGCAGCTCCAAGCCTATGACTTTTAGAGTCACGGCAGCGGCGCTTGCAGACGAGTATTTGACGAACACTCGTCTGACTGCACAGGAGCCGTTGCTTCTGTATCAGCAGCCCCTTGACCTGCCCTCGGAGTTCAAATACTCTGAGGAGCTTGAGGCGGGGGCATTGTTTTGGACCCACTACCTGAAAGGGGCTGCTCGTGCTACCAGCATGCTGATGCTGGCGCACGTTATTTTGAATGAGTTGAAAGTCGATGTGCAGCTTTTGAATCCAAGCTTGCACCAATCCTTGCTAGCCGTGTATTGCCGACTTGGCACTTCCGCAAGTGATTCAGCAACCATCGCCATGGAGAACGCACGGTTGTCCGCCCGCGGAGCAATCCGTAAGGCCCATGACGTCATCACATGGGCGGGCAAGCTGCGTACCCTTAAATTGCAAGGGCTACAGCCAGCCGAAATCATCAAAATATACAATGAAAGTGCCACGAAGGACTCGGCCATCCAGGGGGCCAGAAGGATGGGCCTGGTGGCACTCTTGGATTTACCCGAGCAGTGCCTAGCCTTGTTGCTACAGCGCATATCCGAATTTGGAATTTAATGGCTGCGCATTCAATGAGACTGCTTTTAGCAACAAGAAGCTCATGCCTGGCTTTCAGCCACGTGCAACCAGCGACCGAGCATGGCAGAAAAGGCTGGCGGTAACATCAGAAGGCTACGAATTGCTGGTCCGCTACGCGCATTGTTCACACGCGCGCAAACCCAGTGCAATTCGCTCCAAATTGGACACGGCTGCAATGACCGAGGCAACGCAAATGAGTCAGCTCTTGATTTCATGTTTGCAGGAAATCCAAGACCAGCACGCTTTGCCCGGGGAAGCGGAAGACAAAATCCTACAAGACTTCATGGATGGAGACAACAACCTGGAGCTGGAATTACAAGGCGCCATCTCAGAATTGAAAAAGGGATGGCAGCCTGCTTTGCATAGCCAACCGCGATGGCAAATTGGAAGCGCTGGGGAAAGGCACCAAGATTTCCGCTGGGCAGCTTGAAAAACAGGCTTTTGAAGTGCTAGTATCATCTTTGCAGCATGGCGTAGACACTTATGCAGTCTGGCCAAGTGCCTGGATCGTGACTCGGTGGTTCACTTTCAACGCCTAAGTCACACATCAGCCAGGCACACTCGAGCCCGAGAGATCGCAGACTCAGTGATCTCAGAGGATCGTGGGCTCAGGTGGCAAATCTCCCTGAAGAAGGTCGAAAGTGTGGACGCCGCTAACATCGCAATGTGGAACGAAGCCTGCAACTGGTTTTGCAAAGGAAGGCGGCGATCTGGATCCAGCACATGAGTCCAGACACCTACCTTCTTAAGTGGCCACCTCAGAATACCATGAGGCGCCAGTCAGGGCTACCTCGGATTGGAGGCGCCACATGACAGCCAGACCGAGGCCCACGGCAGGTGGAGGAAAAAAGTGGCTTAGCGCAGGGGCGGGTCAGGGGGCTGGGAGGTTAAG